AGTGACCCACAGCGCACTAGTCGAATAAGACCGAATCTTGTTAAAAATTCTGGGTTCAGCAAAAATGTTTGGTGAATCCGTTAACGCAAAAGATAAAGTCAAATATCATTTCTCGCAGCCCTTTAGCTTATGTTTAATGTCAAAGGTATCTGTTTTCAATAAAATTTTTATCGTTCTCTTGATAATTGCTCTGACCTATAGTCGAACAATGTAAAGAACATCATTAATATTGCTGGCGTGCATTTAGGTCGCTGGTTCCAAATATTCGAATCCTTTTTTTAATATTAGCTAAAGTTTGCGAAATTTTGCAAATTCAGGAACAATTTCGGTAGCTCTAATAGAAAAGCCATTATTTTCCATTATCGTGGAATAATTTTGTTTATGCAAGTGAGTATAGAAACACTGAACAGGCACAACTTCTAGAAACACTTATTAGTTTACATATGTTTATACATACAATAGAAAAATTGCAAATGTAGGAAAATGACAAAAAATTTTGTTTACATTTTTCTTTTAAATAATCTGTTTATAATCTGAACGATTTTCATCATATTATTATGATAAATCAGTATCAGTAAGTCTCGCCTTCAATTTGGTATTTATTACGTACCGATCGCGTAACATTTACCAAAGTTATATCGAAAAACTTAAGCGGATCTAAAGTTTTTTTCGAAAAAAATTTTCTTCAATTGTATAAATAACCTTTAAATGAAAAAACCGGACTGCAGAAAAGTGTGCCAGGGAGTGACTTTTCGTTCAAGCTGAATGCAAAGCAATATCGTCCAATTGGAGAGTCCTCAAAAGAATTTCCCAGGATATGTTAAAGACTATTGCATTTATCTACAGTCACTTTCTCACATAAAGGAGTTAAATAAATATTTTTGTATATCTAAACACTCATTGCACCTCCCCTACCTTCATATAGCGGCAAATTTAGAAACCGCGAAAAATGTGCTTCTTCGGTGACTAATGAAACCATTCCTCACCAATTTTCAAGACAACATAAATGGACTTAAAGTGGGCGTTTCTCACCCTAATTGTATTATGTTAATGTTTGTAAATACTTATATGCTTGAAACTACTATTAACTTATCAAACGATTCCTAAACTTTGACAATACATGTTTGACTTCATTCACCACGATCTTGAAAACTGACCAAATCGGCGTGACCAAGTCAATGGTCACTTTAATATTATATAAACATCCGAAAACATTAAAACGTTTGAAATAAATCTCGTCTCACTTTTTTGTATTTTTAACTTGGTTGCTGAAGTAATGAAAAATTGAAAATTCATAAGGGAAAATTATAGTTTTTGTAAGTTTTATCTTAATATCTTAAAAACTTGGAGACTTATTGAAAAATTACAAATGAACGTGAGGTACTAAATTTAATAGCCCTTAATTTGCTATATCGTCCTGTTTATAACAATTGACGCATTCCATAGATATTACTAGCCAAATTTTCTTTTTAAAATTCATACATTTTGATTCAATTGCGCGGCTAAAGATACGTTTTGAATTAATCTTTCGTGGCCAATAACAATTGGCTTAGACATAAGACATCATAATATTACTATTACAATACGGCCAAATGCATTTTATTTTCCCCCATACAAAATCGACCCAGCCTAGTATATATGTATGTATGTATATATGAATGTATGTATGTATGTATGTATATACCCACTAGAACTTGAAGGGAGATCTCCCTATATGAGAAATAAACGAGTACTCCCCTTGACCTGATTTCGGAGCAACAAGAGAGATTTGTCGGTTTTGTGTTCCTTTATTACTCGCTTCGGAGTCAAATAGGAGATCTCCTAAGCGAGTAAGTAAACAGTAAAACAGAATAATAATAAAACGGTGAGATAACTACATGATTTCCTGGTGTCAGGGATGCTTGGGCGTTCAGGAGCTCACGCAAATAGGGAGAGTGTATACAACTTTCTTGTTTTAACCACGATCAATGTGAAGGTTACTTAGCCCATCTGATAGCTATGTCCTCCAGTAAAAGCTTTGGACCGGCATTATATGAACGTTAAAACCAGGTGGTCAAACGTAAATGCTGACACAAATTTGCTAATCTGAAAAGTATTTAGCGATATATAACACAACATTTAACCAATTTAAACAGAAGTTGCAATACATACCGATGGACCTTAATTTAACTGTGTGATATCGTCATTCAATTAATGCATCCTCCTTATATTGTTTCTATATGAAATATTTTCTGTAGTTTTCCTTATGATAAATTTTTCCAATAATACGCAATTTCTTTTGAACGAGGTGCCTATAGCTCCCCTATCAATCAAAAGGAAAACTCCAGGATTACTCTCTTAGGAGACATCGCTTTTTGCTCCTAAGCGAGTAATAACGGAGTACAAAACCGACAAATTTCAGTTATCGCTCCGTAATCATGCCTCTGGGAGTATTCTTTTATTGCTCACTTGAGAGATCTCCCGTTTGGCTCCTAAACGAGTAATAAAGGAGTACAAAATCGACAAAAATCGTTTATTGCTCCAAAATCATGGCTCTGGAAGTATTCTTTTGTTGCTCACTTAGGAGATCTTCGATTTGACTCCTAAGCGAGTTATAAAGGAGGTCAGAACCAACAAATCTCCCCTATTGCTCCGAAATCAGGCCAAAAGGAGTACTCTTTTATTGCTCACATTGGGAGATCTCCCTTCAAGTTCTTGTGGGTATGTATGTATGTACCCAGTAGAACTTGGGAGCATCGTACGATTGCTCGGTGAGTACTCCCTTGGGAGTATACGAATACTCCCCATTGCTCCCTATGCTTCTGTGTATAAGCATGTAATTTTGTATACTCCCTTTAACATTGGATGTCCTAGGAGGGGGAGTAATCCCTTTTACCTCCTAAACGAGCAATCGGGGAGCACGCACAGAATTATCATCCCACAAACCTCCTAATGGAGCAATACGGGAGTACTCCCTTAGTTACCTCCCAGAAACCTCCCAAAAAGACAACAAGGGAGTGCACTTAGAAAACATCCCACATTCCTCCCTAGCGAGTAGTAAGGGAGTACTCCCATAAGAGTCATCCCGGAAGCCTCCTGCACGAGTAATAAAAGAACGCCTCTATACTCCCGAATTCCTCCTCATGGAGTAATGGAAGACTACTACCACATTGCTCCATAACGAGCATTTTACATAAGCTAAAAAGATTTTGCTTTTTACGCAATTCATTTATTTAATTTTTTAATCATATACATATATACATACTTATGCACATAAATACAAGATTTAAGCTGATTATTACAAAAACAGAAAAAAA